GCCAGAGATAACCCTGTACCTGCTCGTTGATGCAACCAGCACCTATTTGAACCTTGTGACTCATTCGCTCCTTGTCTTCCTTTGCGGCTCCTTATCTGCATTTATTGCGCCAGCCTTTTGATGTTGCTTCCCACCCCCTCGTACCTCAATTGCTGGATGCCTTAGTATATTGCTGGAGCCACACCCAGCACTAATCTCCCGGGCCATGCCACCTCTCTCCGAGCTGCTGCTGTGAAATGAGCTATTTATAAAGCATCTTCTCCTCCATCCTATTCTCATGGGCATTCCACATAGCCTTCCTTAACAATATCCTTCTGCTCCATTTTGGTGGAGTTTCATCCTTTTCCAGCCACTGGCCTGTCTGTGAAAGGAGCTATGTAAGTGCAAGTTAAGAACACTTCCTTTTGATCTTGCCTTCCTTGAGCCTTAGGTTGAAACCCATCTTCTCAAAAACAACAACTTATACAGCACCCTTCACGCGGGGCAGCATCTCTGAGCGCTTAACAATGGCACTTCTTGACACCGAGATGGGGAGGGGCGGGAGGTGACCATAGGTACGGTCAAAGAGGAGGGTCTTCAGGTGTGACCTGAAGTTGGACAAGATGGAGTGATTGAGGCAAGGAGGTTCATGGTTTCAGGGTGTAGCATAGTTTCATGCTGAAAGCATAGCCGCCAATGGTGGGGGCGGAGGGAATGTGTAGGAAGCCAGAAACCCTTAGTGATGGGGGTCGGGTAGAGCAGAGAGGTGTTAGCAGGTGCCTAGATCATAATAATAATTCTTGCATTTTATATAGCGCCTCATCACTTCTTTGTGACGTCTCAAAGTGCTTCACCGAATATACTGTAAAATGAATTGACTGTGTATTTTGTGGGCGAAACGTGTCATCTTAGTATCATGTTCTGTTCTTTGCTTTTCTTTTACTTTTCTTCTCTCTGATTGAAAACAAGATCAATGTGGGAATTGGATATTTGAAGAGCAAGAATATAACCAGGGAAAGAGCAGGGAATTGGTGGTTTACATTAGTGAATGTTCAGCCATCGTCTAATGCTCAGTTGTCCGTGGAATCCTCTATAAACTCCCTGTGGAATTGGTGGTTAGAGCACTCACCTGGTAAGCGGGAGACCTGGGTTATATTCCCGGGCACGGCGAAATATTGGGCAAGTTTCCTTACTCCACACGCCTCTGTTTACCCAGCAGTAAGTAGGAACCCATTTGTTAGTCGATTGGCGGATCACTTTTCCGGGGGTAACAATTCCTTGAAAAAAACTATAATAAATTTGTCACTCAATCCACGATTGTTTGTGGGATGCTGCTGTGCACAATTGGCTGCCACGATCCGCCCACAAAATATACAGTCAATTCACTTTGAGACGTCTCGAAGATGTGATATGACAGTATATCAAATGCAAGGTTTATTACTATTATAATAATAATAAACCGCGCCCTCCACTGTAAACAATACCTTCCGGTAGAAATAGCGCACCCCGCTAAAAAAACGCTGATAATGACGTTTCTTGCGCTGTGAGTGTGTGTGTCTCTCTCTTTCTAAGAATGTGTGTCCCTCTTTCTGTGTGTGTGTCTCACTCTCTCTCTGGCTCTGTCTCTGTGTGCAGGAGGTGGTGAGTTCTTGCAGCCCCACAGTCAGGACACTGGCTCTGAGTGTCTGTTTTTTATGAATTTCCAGGCCTTTAGGGCTTGCGCTGGTGCCCCACCCCACACACCCACCCCACCAAAGAGTTTTTATGAAAAAGGAAATAATTTCTTTTTTGCAACAGTCTAATACGTGTTATTTCTTCATGATTAGTTTTTAGCAATTAAGTTTAAAAAAAAAGTAGGTAAAACATACCTCAATAGCACCAATCAATTCCCTGCAATTTTCCGAAAAACCCTCAAAATTTCCCTGCAATCCTGTCAGAATTTCCCGCAATTTCGGGCAAACATTTCCACCCTCTTCTATTGGGTCAGGTTATCGGGGACTAAGGATCAATTGGTAGCAGCCCCTGTGATTACATTCCTGTGTGTATTTGCCAGACTCAGTACACTGTGACCTCCACATGAGCTCACGAGAGATTCGTAACAAAGTGTGGAATGAGAAAAATCCATTCAGCATATTGGCCCGATCCTCCCATGGCGCATGTCAACCCCAGCCCACCCCACCCTCCGTGTACCTCATCACAGTTACACTTACCACCTGGGGAGAAAGTTCTTCAGGAGGGTGCCCTGTGCTCCAAATAGAAATTGAGCAAAACGTGCAATACATGTGTCCGCTAATGAACGCTGGCCTCCTTCCCTCCACACACGTACATATTCTCTCTTCCCTCCTCTCCTTCCCCGGCCCCATCCTCAGCAGCACACTAACTCCCGGTATCCTGTGGAGTATTTGTTCCCCTCAGAGGCCTTCCCACAGCAACACCTCCTCACACCAGATACCTCATTGTGATCTTGCACAAATCGCCTTTTCTTCAATTCTGCTGCAGAGCGAGAGGCTAACTGAGGCAGAGAAGCAAACATGTTTTTTTCCCCCACTAACGGCCTATAGAAAGCTTCCCCCCCACCCCCGAGTTATTGCTTTCGAGCTTCGCTCCTTCCTCTCCCATCACTCCCTTCACTTCCCCTCCAATTGGGTTTCGAATTCAAGATCCTCATCCTCACCTACAAGGCCATTCACGGCCTCGCTCCCTCCTACCTCTCCGACCTACTATCCCCCTACCTACCTGCCCGTACCCTCCGTTCCTCCGGCTCCGGTCTGCTCCACATCCCCGCCCCAACCGTCCTACCATCGGTGGTCGGGCCTTCAGCCTCTCAGCCCGAGGCTCTGGAACTCCATCCCCAGTGCCTTCGCCGCTTCCTCCCTCTCCTCCTTCAAGGCCGGTCTCAAGACCTTTCTCTTTGACCGAGCCTTCAGCTCCCCTCTCGACTCTCTACCCCCTCCTCGCTCCTTCCCTTCCCTCACCTTGACCATTTCCCCCTTTCTCGCTACCCCCTTCCCCTTACCATTTACCCCCCCAATGCTCGGGTCCTGACCCAACTGTCCAGCGCCTTGGGACGTCCTCCCGACGTGAAAGGCGCTCTATAAATGGAATCTTGTTGTTGTTGTTGTTTCCGTGCTGCCCACAGCATATTAGTGATTTTGCCTCTCTGCCTCCTTGTGTTCCTTGACCTCTTTGTTGCCTTCGATACCGTTGACCACTCTTTCTACTGTTGAACGTCAACAAGACCGAGGCTCTCCTGATTGGTTCCCATCAGCACCTCCACACCTCAGGCACTGACAGCATCACCATCCATGGATGCACTCTCCACCTCACCGAGCCAGTCTGGAACTTTGGCGTCTTGTTTGACCCTCAAGTGTCCCTTCTACCCCACATCCGTCCCATGACCCGATCTGCCTTCTCCCACCTCTGCAACATCGCCCAGCTCGGCCGCTGCCTCACTCTTCAGTCCGCCAAAACCATCTTCCACGCATCACACCTAGGCTTGCCTACACCAACTCCCTGCTTGTCGGCCTTCCCATCTCTTCCCTCCACAAGCTGCAGATCATCCAGAACTCTGCAGCTTGTGTCCTCTTCCCACCAGGCTCCATGACCCCATCATCCCCACACTCGCCCAGCTCCACTAGTTCCCCATCCCCCAGAGGATAGAGTTCAAAATTCTCTTCCTCATCTTCAAGGCCCTCACTGCCTTGCCCCTCCCTACCTCTGCGACTTGCTGACCCCATATCTCCCTCCGCTCAGCAGCCTGCTCCATGTCCCCTGCCCAGTCCACCCCGCCATCAGCGGTTGTTCCTTCAGCTTTTCTGAACTGCTGAGTGTTCCCAGTGACTTCTGCTTTTATTTCAGACTAGCTGTACCCTTTGCAGCTATGCTTGCAACCAGTTTCATTTAACCGGCCTTCTCTCTTTCACCTGGCCTTTTAATTTGTCCTTGAAAGGCTTGATCTTTGCTTCTTAGACATCTTTATCCTTTAAGATTAAGAAAATGTGCTAGTGAACTTGTTAGCTTCCCTTGTGCACATATTTGTACACATATCTTTTTGGGAGGTCTTAGTGGGAAGACTCCTGTGGGAAGACTCCAGGTTGGGAGGACTACTTGTTAGGAGGACCTGTGTTGGGAGGACCCTTGTTGGGAGTCCATATATGTGTGATGACCTTGTTTAGGTCATGATAGGAGATCCCCTCCAAAAAAATATGCCCATGACACTCCCCCATCCAAGACCGTTCTGATGATCATTTATTTACATCAATTGGTTATTGCGTTCTTGGCCGACAGACAGACAGACAGACAGACTTGCAGTTCACAGGCAGACACACAGACATTTCATCTTTATTAGTCTAGAAGAGATAGATAGATAGATAGATAGATAGATAGATAGATAGATAGATAGATAGATAGATAGATAGATAGATAGATAGATAGATAGATAGATAGATAGATAGATAGATAGATAGATAGATAGATAGATAGATAGATAGATAGATAGATAGATAGATAGATAGATAGATAGATAGATAGATAGATAGATAGATAGATAGATAGATAGATAGATAGATAGATAGATAGATAGATTTCCAGCATCTGCAGTATTTTGCCCCACTGGCAGCATCAGTTGCTGCTCTGTGTGTGGCTGTGTCTTTGCACACGATCCCCTCGTGCCCTTGTCAGCCGCTCCCCGGCTGTCAGCCGCTCCCCGGTTGTGAGACGCTCCCTGGCTGCAGGCTGGTCTGTGCGCCTCCCCGGCGGGGCAGCGCTTTGCGGACGCCCCCTGGCCTCCCGGCGGCTCCTGTTTGCGGCCACTTTCAAACCGGTCCCGGCGTGCACCGCGCGGCTAACGGCTCCCGGCGCCTCTCACACACTCACTCACTCACACACACACACAGGGCCGCGGGGAGACAGCGGGCGGGAGGGGGCGGGGGGGAGACAGCGGGCGGGAGGGAGTGGGGGGGGGACAGGCCGGGAGGGGGGACAGGCCGGGGAGGGGGGACAGGCCGGGGAGCGGGGGGGGGGTGCAGCGCAGCAGAGGCCGGGTTGAGGGGGAGCTGAGGCCGGGTGGTGTCGGGTGGTGTCGGGGGGGCAGAGACCCGGGAGGGAGGAGGGAGAGGAAAGGGGTGCGGCGGTGGGAGGGGGTAGTGAGACCGGTCGGCTCGGGGCTCGGGGCTCGGGCCTCGGGTCTCGGCTCGGGCCTGGGAGGCAGCCATGGCCGAGTCGCTGCCGCAGACGCCGAGCCGACACGAGAAGAGCCTCGGCCTCCTGACCACCAAGTTCGTGTCGCTGCTGCAGGAGGCCAAGGACGGGGTACTGGACCTGAAAGTGGTGAGAAACTGGGGGGCGGGGGTGGGGGGAGGTGTGAGCGGGGGGGGGGGCCCGAGCACAAAAGATCCTCAGCCACACGTGCTCACACCAGCCTCCAACACCTGCCCTCCCCGCACTGCCCTCGTTATACTGCCAACACTACCCTCAACACTGCCCTCAACACTACCCTCTACACTGTAAACACTGCCCTCAACACTACCCTCTACACTGCCCTCAACACTGTAAACACTACCCTCGACACTGCCCTCAACACTACCCTCTACACTGCCCTCAACACTGTAAACACTACCCTCTACACTGTCAACACTATCCTCAACACTGTCAACACTACCCTCTACACTGCCCTCAACACTACCCTCTACACTGCCCTCTACACTGTCAACACTGTGAACACTACCCTCTACACTATCCTCAACACTGCCCTCAACACTGCCAACACTACCCTCAACACTGCCAACACTACCCTCAACACTGCCCTCAACACTGTCAACACTACCCTCAACACTGCCCTCAACACTGTCAACACTACCCTCAACACTGCCAACACTACCAACACTACCCTCAACACTGCCCTCAACACTGTCAACACTACCCTCAACACTGCCCTCAACACTGTCAACACTACCCTCAACACTGCCCTCAACACTGTCAACACTATCCTCAACACTACCCTCTACACTGTCAACACTGTGAACAATACCCTCTACACTATCCTCAACACTGCCCTCAACACTGTCAACACTGCCCTCAACACTGCCCTCTACACTGCCAACACTGCCCTCTACACTACCAACACTACCCTCAACACTGCCCTCAACACTGCCAACACTGCCCTCAACACTACCCTCAACACTGCCAACACTACCCTCAACACTGTCAACACTACCCTCAACACTGCCAACACTGCCCTCAACACTGTCAACACTACCCTCAACACTGCCCTCAACACTGCCAACACTGCCCTCAACACTGTCAACACTACCCTCAACACTGCCAACACTGCCCTCAACACTACCCTCTGCACTATCAACACTACCCTCTACACTACCCTCAACACTGTCAACACTACCCTCAACACTGTCAACACTGCCCTCAACACTGCCAACACTGCCCTCTACACTGCCAACACTACCCTCTACACTGCCAACACTACCCTCTACACTACCCTCTACACTACCCTCTACACTGTCAACAACACCCTCAACCCTACCCTCAACACTATCAACATTACCCTGAACATTACCCTCTATAATAATAATAATCCTTGCATTTGATATAGCGCTTTTCACGTCGGGAGGACGTCCCAAAGCGCTTCACAGAACACACTGTAAAGTGAATTGACTGTATATTTGTGGGCGAACGCGGCAGCCAATTGCGCACAGCAATGTCCCACAAACAGTCGTAGATTGAAAATGACCAATTTATTATTGTTTTTGGTTTTGGAGGGATTATTATTAGACTCTGTGTGGAGTAAGGAAACTTGCCCAAGGTTTCGCCCTCTGCCTGGAATTGAACTCAGGTCTCTCGCTTGCAAAGCGAGTGCTCTAACCACTGAGCTACAGGCCTCCAATGCTATGCTAGCCTCTCCTCAACACTACCCTCTACACTATCAACATTTCCCTCTTTACGTTTTGCCCACAAAATATAGTCAATTCACTTTGACAGTGTATCCTGTGAAGCGTTTTGAGGCGTCTCGAGGACGTGATAAGGCGCTGTATCAAATGCAAGGATTATTATTGTTATTATACTACACGGCTCCCTGCTATACCCCCACTGCCCCTGCTATACCCTCACTGCTCCCCTCTGTCCCCGATATACTGCCACTGCCCTCACTGCCCCCCTCTATCTCTACAGTCCTGACTGCTATATCCTCACTGCCCCCGCTATACCCCCACTGTCCTCACTACCCCCTGGTCTACTCTCACTGCCCCTGATATACCGCCATTGCCCTCACTGCCTCTCTATATCTCTACTACCCTCACTGCCCCCGCTATGCCCTCAATGCCCCCGCTGTAGCCTCACTGCCCCCGCTGTATCCTCATTGCTCCCCACTATACCTCCACTGCCCCCGCTATATCCTCATTGCTCCCCACTATACCTCCACTGCCCTCACTGCCCCCTTGCTATACCTCCACTCCCCGCTCCCCCACTATATCTCGACTGCCCCCTTCACTGCCCCCCGCTATCTCTGCATTGCTCTCGCTGTACCTCCATTACATTCCACAGGGTGCCCTTTCACGGATCCCAACCCCCAACAGCTTCTCTCACTTGCTCCCCGAGACAGCTCAATACTTATCGTCCACTCTCAGCCCCCACCCGCCTCCCAACTTTATTTATTATTCATAATGTTTTTAACTTGCTGCTTGTATTATTCTTTCATTTGAAGTCCAATCTCTTAGTAATTAATTTACAGGTTGCTGTGTGCGCGTGCGTCTGTTCACAGTTGGCATGTTTATACGTCGAGGCCTGTGTTTGCGTATTTTTCGGAGTGGGGGGAAGGAAGCATATTTTCTGTGGAAATGAAGAATCTTTAGTCACTTTGAGGATTTTTGTTTTTAAATGATAAATGAAAATAAGTGGGGAGAGAAGGGATTGGGGTCCTTCCATTGTTGCTATGTGCTAAGGGTTGGCAGTTGCACTAAGTTAAGTGGCCATGCCAAGTGGTGTGCAGCCCTGCTGGGTGGTGTGGGCAGCAGGCCACAGCCTCAGTGCAATGGGGGGAAAGTGGCTTTGCAAGTTGTGAGGTGACCTGACCAGAGGAAACACTTTGCAAGATCGGAAGTCACAGCTGTGAGCCCAGGGCTGCAGTCACTGAACTACAAGCCCATCTTCATTTCTGTTCTGGCGCCTTATTTGAGCAGTTTAAAAGTGGCAATTGTTTCATTTGTTTTATGAGGCTGCCTGGAGTAATGCTGGCTGTCATCACATCTGTGTTTTCATCTGGATTCCTACTCCCTCACTCCTCTCTCACTACAAAAAACAATAATAAATTGGTCATTTTCAATCTACGACTGTTTGTGGGACATTGCTGTGCGCAATTGGCTGCCGCGTTCGCCCACAAATATACAGTCAATTCACTTTACAGTCTATTCTGTGAAGCGCTTTGGGACGTCCTCCCGATGTGAAAAGCGCTATATCAAATGCAAGGATTATTATTATTATTATAAGCCCCTCCTCCCCAGACACACAGAGCTGATGAGTTAAAACTTCACTGCAATGAATAAATGATGCTTGTTTGTGTGTAACACTGAATCGATGAACAGAGGCATTGATCACAGAGACGTTTGATTTCTATTTGTATCACAGGGATTTTATCTGCATCAGATTCCCTCCTTTGTAATCTATTAGGTGTCACCTTGGCTCAGTAGGGTAGAATTTGTTAACCTTGCAAGCCCAAAGCTCTAAAGGACTTAGGTCAGAGAGTGTCTCCCTCCGGGGAGGGAGTGCGCACCCCAATTCCACATATGGGGTATGTAAGTAGCGTGCATATACAGAACTGTTTGGATACTTTTAGACACTGTGATGGGTTTCTGCATGTGTCAGGCAACAACAACTTGCATTTATATAGTGCCCTTCATGCAGAGTCGTGTCCCAGAGCACTTGGCTGACAAAAGAATCTCTCGCTTCTTGGTCAGCAGATTGTGGGTTCAAGACCCACGTTGAAACTGAGCTCACAATCTCCTTGACACTCCAGCTCAGTACTAGGGGAGCATTGCATTGCTGGAGGCATCCTCTTTCAGATAAGATTCGGTCCCGTCTACCTATTCAAGTGGATGTTAATGATCCTGTAGCACTCATTATCTTCCAGATAAAATGGTTATTCACTTCATGGGTGTTTGTGGGGTATTGCTTTGTGCAAAGGGGTTGACGTATTCACCTACAAATACAGTCACTACATTTTACGGCAATTATCTGAGAGAGGCTGGGTTTCTATTCTTTATGGGGTTATTTGATTGAGGTATTTAAAATAATGGAAATAATTGACAGGTTAGGTCATGGATGACTCTTCCCTCTGGTAAAGGGATCCATTACAAAGGGGTCTGGCCTTAAAATCAGAAGTACGATGGTTAGAACTGAGATCATGAAGCATTTCTTCACACTATTCTGAAGATGTGGAATGTTGTGCCCCAAAGAGCTGTAAAAGGCAGTATCAATAGGAATATTTAGAAGAATGATTGATAGATAGACACTTGGATTGTAGAAGTATTAAAGGTTATCAAAAAGGCAAGGCGTTAAGATGAAAAGATCTGCCAAGGTCCAATAAACTGGTGGGACAGGCTCTATGTGATGAATGGCCTCCTGTTCTCTTATATCCTCTAGGTGCTTTGACACCTTTTGAGATTGTAGTTGCTATATCAAATGAAAGGATTACAACGAGTGCAACCTGTGCTTGGCACTGTGACAGCTCCAAGACGCACTGTTTTGCAATCCTTTGATGTGCAGCAGTGTCAACAGGTCACAGGAAAACGCCACAATGTGTAACTTGGGAAAGACAAAGGCTGCCTTGTGCATGGGCACGTGGCCTGGGATTGTGGAGTTTAGACGCTGAATGATGGTCACCTGTTAGTTACCTGGGGAAAGGGGGAGGATAAGAGACCTGGAACTCAGGAATCCACAGCACAGCAACCCAGCAAAACATTCCTGTTATCCCACAGGAAGGGGCTCGAGAGATCGGGTCCAACACATAGTGCCAGAGGCAAGGCCCTGCCTTGTCTCCCTTACACCACCGCCCCCCACCCGCTTTGCCACACACACACACACACGCCAGTCAGAGGTCTGTTCCTCTGGCATTCAGAAAGGAAGTTAAAATGTCTTCTAAAGGCCAAAGGTGAAGGAATATTAAGAGTATTTCGAACAAAGTGGAACAGCGATCTTTATTCATGACACTAAACATGTGGCCTTTGGCCCCTGCACACTGACTTGCCTTGTGCCGTGAATACCCATAATTAAAGGTGCATTATCCCAGGTTTAGAATTTTCCTTGGCAACCTCTTCTATTTTTAAAAAGGCAAATTTAGTTAAATAACGTCATTCAACTTTCTTTTCATATATAATATTTCTTCCTCACACACACGCACAAGGAAACCCCGTGCCTGCTCTCAGGTGTGGGGGAGGGAGACGGTGTTTGACCAAGCAGCGCAGAAACTGGCTGAAAGCACGACCGCTGATTGTGGAGCGGGGGAGACAAGGGACATCGTGAAGAACTGAGCAAAGCCAGGGGTAGAGCAGATCAGAGATGAAGGAAGGTGGCCGGGTGTGAATAGATTTGAAAGTGAAGAGATTGAAATCTGAGGAGCTTGAAATGGATGTGTTCTACCACAGGAGCTAGCGGAGGTAGCATGTTTAATGTCTTCATTGGAGACAGGGCAGCAGGTTGCAAGCTCTAAAGCAGTGGTGGCCAACCCGTGGCCCACGGCCATTTACGGTCCACTGTGCCGTCAAGCAGCATTCCCCCCCCCCCAACTAAACATTCATACGAGCCGAGGTAAGTTTGTGTTCGATCGGTACTTTTGTCCAGGTGTTTATTGATTGAATATCAAGAAATATTCAGTTGGTTACAAACTAATCTGTAGCCTGGATCAAAACTGCAAGTTAACTTACGAGAACTGAGTAGAAGCCATTGGTAAATTGGAGTGGCATGAAGTTAACAGGATTTTTTGCTCAACCCTTGTTGCTTTGAGAAGGTGGTGGGCCTGCTCATTAAACTGCAATGCAGTTAACTGGATTCAACAAGGTCCTCTTGCTTACGAGGCGAGCGCTCTAACCACTAAGCTAAAGGAGTCCACATGGCTCGACTGCACTTCTGACAATACAGGCTCAGAACCCACACCTGGGCACCTTCCTACATCTCCGATCGGCTATTTTAGCACAGGTGGGAAATCCCTATTATTTTGACAATGACTTTACATTTATCGAGGTTGGCAGATATTTTCATCTAGTTTACTGTTTTGTTCAATTTCCAGCCCTGGGAGTTAGATCCAGTGGTACAGTCCTGAGCTGATCAAGTTTGAAGGACCAAAATCAAACTCATTTGACACAGCAAGGCTCCTGGGGTCTGGTGCAGAAATTTCACTTGGGTAAGGGACTAAAGCGAGGAGTCAGGACCTTCAGAAGAAGGACAGTGGGTTGCCTATGCCGTGGGAAAGCCTCAAGTCTTTGAAGTGTACTAACACATGCAGGAAATGCTATGAGATTGGATGCAAATCCTTGTGCAACACATTCTACGTTCAGTCTCATAGCATTTCCTACTGTTGCATTAAGAGAATGCTAATTTGCATTGACACAAGTGAGGGGGAAACCAAGGGCTTTGTTCAGAGGAATAAATGGACGGTAAACAATCACTTGAACTCATGGACATGAGGGTCAGTGATCCACTAGAAACCAGGAATTTACCACTGTGTCTCGATCTGTGTTCTCAGTAGTGAGATGTGGCCATTTAACCCATCAAGTCTGTGCCACATCCCCCACCTGCTGAGATCTGGCCGGCATGGACAGGTCCATTCTCTGTAGTTTTTCAATGTACAGTGAGACGGGAGAGGATGCGAGGCTGTGGTCTGGAGTCGAAAGAAGGGAAAATCTGAAGTCTCTGTAGAAAGTAATGTCTACTTGTCATAGATGTTCAGTTGTACGTGGAAGAAGAGGTTGATTGTTGGATGAAAGTGAAGGATGAACTAATGTGAAGGACCAACAACAACTTGCACTTATATACCGCTCTCTACCCTGACTTTGAGCTGGGGGTGGGTGGGGAGGGGGTGGTGGAGGTGGCCGTAAGCATGGTCGAAGACTTTGTGCAATGAACGGCAAAAGATTCCAATAGACAGGACATTGAAGTCAGGGTGGGAGGACTCCGTGAGAAGATCACAGTGTAAGCCTGGCAAAGCAGCGAGTGTGTGGTGAGGTGTGGTGGTGTCTGGTCGGTTTATGGGTTGGGCAGGTGCGTTTTTGAAATGTTGGGCAGAAGCACGGCTGCAGTGTGGCAGTACGGATCCAGAGCTGCCCGTTCTGAATTTGTCCTGGTCTGAAAACACTAGTGTGTAAACAAATTGTTCCATTTGGTCAGTGGGTTTGTCAAGAAAGACGGCATTTTAATACACCTCATTGTTTTGAAATATCTCAATGCGAATGCGCCTCACAGATCAGTACCTTTGAAGTAAATGTGCACTTTCTTGGTATCAGAGCTGCCCTATAGCCTCATGGACGTGCCTCCTAGGATAGATTGGCAGAGCTGGCCCTAAACATTGGGGTGAAAGGGAAAGCCGATAAGAGGACTGAAAAAACCCAGCCCACAATCTGGCTGCTTTGTCCTGACTGGAGTTCCCCACTCTAGTTACTCATTACAGCAATGCTCTCTCTATTGCTGAGCAGCTCACAATGCTGTGGTTTGCTCTGGGTCTCTTCAGAGCCAAGCTGAGGTCCCCTCCCATACCATTACCCTGCTCTTGCCTTGTTAATAACCAACCCACTCAAGGGACCATAGAGCCTTTTTGAGTGTGCGAGAGCCCTGGTAGAAGGCGACAAGGAGGAGATGATGTGTCATCTCATTCCTGCAGTGACTCAGATAGCTCCCCCTGGGATTTCCCCCACAGAGCTGCAATGTCAGATAACAAATTTTCTTTTTTGTTTGAGTCCATGTGGCAAATGTATGTATTTTTCTTGATTCCCCACAACCCCCACAATGGTAAGGGGGTGTTAGTGCTGGAAATGGGAATTTCAGGCAGCCAGTGTTAGCATCGATCACCTCCTGTGGATAGATACAGATTACCATCCATCCAACACCTCTCCCACTTGCTTACTCCACAACCCACAACCCAATGCCTCCGCTCGACTGGCTCCAGCCTCAAGCATTTCCCTTATGCCCTCCATTCCACCATCAGTGGCTGCGCTTTAGGGCACTAAGCCCTGAAAATCTGGAACACTCTTCCTCAATCCCTCCGCTCAACCCACCCTCTTTCCCCATTTTCATGTTGCGTCTGAAGACCTTCCTCTTCGACTGTGCCTACATCACCTCCCCCCGGCTCGTTGTTGTCTGCCACTGTCAAGCGCACTACCCTACGTGAGGGGCGCTAAATAAATGCACATTGTTGCCTGATGCTGTGAGAATTCCCACCATCAACACAAGCCACCATGTGATCTCATCATTGCAGAATATCCACTCTGGCACCATCCCGTTACAGCAACTCAAAAGAGCTGAAGAGTTTTCTGCAGCTGAAGCTCCCTGCCTTTTTGCCGTGTTATTGTATAAAACCCAACTCTCTCTCTTTCTGCAGGCTGCAGACACACTCGCTGTGCGGCAGAAGCGTCGCATTTACGACATCACCAACGTCTTGGAAGGCATTGGGTTGATCGAGAAGAAATCCAAGAACAGTATCCAGTGGAAGTGAGTGTGTGTCTGAGAAAGAGAGAGAGAGAGAGAGAGACAGCACAGATTAAATACAGGGTCTCGCTCGCTCTGTCTCCCTCTGCACTGTCCCCATGTTTCTACAGTGCAGGGTAGATGCAAAGTAAATCTCCCTCTGTCCTGTCCCGTCCAACACTCCCAAGTCAGCTGGAGCACCGTTTAGGTTGTTTCTACAGGAAACAAATGCAAGATTAACAGTCTTGGTCTGTCAGCTATTGTCAACCTTGATTCAGAAGAATACTAACTCATTTCACCAACTGTTTTCAGTATCTTAGAGATGACTGAACCACTGCCCCACCTAAGTCACCAACTGCTGTGTCTTCCCTACACTAATAGGGGAGAGAGGCTCTTAACCAGACAGCGCATCTTTTAATGTGCTGATTCATAACTTGTCAGATTGTGGCTCAGCCTTGCTCTGTCAGGAAAAACAAGACTTGCACTCTGAATGATAATTTTGTATAGCGCCTTATCAAGTTGTTGAGACACCTCAAAGCGTTTCACAGGATATTACTGTGAAGTGCAGTGACTGTAAATGTGTCACAGTGTCTCATTACTGAGTGTTCAACTAGAGTTGTGAAGGAAATATTTCCTTCAAAATTATTACAGAAAATTATCAAGCTCTGCGGCTAGTCAGTTCCCTTCAGCTGGTTTAACGTCAACTGAATCATCCTGAACCTCAGCAAATTTAATTCTCTCATCTCTGTTTCTTGGAGGATTGAGGGATCAAGCTCCATGTTGATTCTTTGAGCTCCCAGTCCAGGCCATCATTCCAGTGCAGGGAGCACTGCATCGACTGAGATGTCCTCCTTTGCATAAGATGTTAAACGGTTTAGGTGTTTAGGTGGATGTTACAATTCCCATGGCACTATTCGAAAAGAGACGAGAATTTCTACCAATGTCCTGGCCAGCAATCTTTAAATAAAATCGGTTATTCCCTTTGTGGGATGTTGCTGTGCACAAATTGGCTGTTGGGTTCACCTACAAAACAAGTCACTATTTATAATAAATCACATAAAATACTCCCGATGTGAAAGGCACTACATCAAATGCACAGATTATTATCATTAAATCCTTTTTACGATTGTGTACCCAAGGTTCTCTTGAAACAATTGTGTGAAAATTACGACCAAACTATGAATTAACTGTGTCGTTTTTGAGTGGTTTTGTAATTGTATCGACATTGAGAACAGCAGGTATCCTGGGAAGGGGGACAGGCTGTGCGGTGTAATCTGTCGTACATTCACTTCCACGCTCCAGTTGATGTGGCGGTGAGCCATACTGTAGCTGTGGGTTTACTTTCCTAGCGGTCTGTAATATTTCCCTCTCCGTTTCTCTCTCTGTGTGTCTGTCTGTCTGTCTGGGTGCTTGTGTCTGTCTGTCTGTCTGTCTGTGTGTGTGTGCAGAGGTGTGGGTCCAGGCTGTAACACCCGGGAAATCGCTGATAAACTGATTGACCTGAAGGCAGAGATTGAGGACCTGGATCGGAGGGAGCAGGAGTTGGACCAGCAGCAGGTCTGGGTCCAGCAGAGCATCCAGAACGTGACGGACGACATTGAGAACAGCAGATATCCTTCTGGGAAGGGGTCGGGCCTCTGGGAACTCCCAGCTCAGGTCTAAAAATCCCTGACTGCCCAGCGCCCTGGGACATCTTTCCAACGTGAAGTGCACTGTGCATTGTGCAGTGCAGACAGCCCATAAACAAGCACACTCAGATACACTTGGACCACCCGTAAGATTGTAGGCCCACTGTGCCCCTGAGGTGGGAGATTATCTTTTCCAGCTCTGACCTCCTCACTGAGCGCCAAACTAAAAATGTTTTTTTTGGAACTTTTGCCGAACATCAGCTGCCCCATCTTATCTACCCCCACAGTCACAGGGTGCGCTGCACCTTGAATAGAAATCCACTCAACCTCCCCCTCCGTAGAAAAGGGCAATGATACGGATTCATGGGGAGGGGGCAGACACTGCATTGTGTGATGGGGTGGCTTGTGACGGGGAGTAGGGGCTTGTGACGGGGAGGGAGAGTGACGGATGCTGCATGTGGTGAGTGGGTTGGGGGCTGGGGGATTGCAGATTCATTGTGGATAGATGTGTCCCAGCCAATGGGGGTTCCCAGTGAGCGAGTGACTGCTGTCTCTAGGTCAGAGGACCTACTATCCCCCTACCTACCTGCCCGTACCCTCCGTTCCTCTGGCTCCGGTCTGCTCCACATCCCCCGCCCCAACCGCCCTACCATCGGTGGTCGGGCCTTCAGCCTCTCAGCCCCGAGGCTCTGGAACTCCATCCCCAGTGCCTTCGCCGCCTCCTCCCTTTCCTCCTTCAAGGCCGGTCTCAAGACCTTTCTCTTTGACCGAGCCTTCAGCTCCCCTCTCGACTCTCTACCCCCTCCTCACTCCCTCCCTTCCCTCCCCTCACCCTGACCATTTCCCCCCTCCTCGCTCCCTCCCTTACCTCCCCTCACCCTGACCATTTCCCCCCTGCTCGGGTCCTGACCTGACTGTACAGCGCCTTGGGACGTCTTCCCGACGTGAAAGGCGCTCTATAAATGGAATCTTATTGTTGTTGTCTCCTTAACTAGCATCACATTAGCATATGTCACACATGAGGATATGTGTCGGTGTTTTAAAGGTAAGGAACCAAAGCTTTATTGAACATTCTAACAGGTGCACTGAGAGGTGGGATCTGCTGTGTGTATCTACGTCAGTGTCTAATCAGCACTGAGTCGTACTGAGCCATGGACAAAGACAGAAGGAAGCCATACAACCCATTGGCTGTGTGTTTCCTCCAGATTATTAGTCTTTTAAGACTCCCTGCCATTTTTCCCCCCTTAATATCCCTCACTTCTCAAGGTCCTGTCTATAGTAATAATAATAATCCTTGAATGTGATATAGTCTTATCACGTCTTCGAGACGTCTCAAATACGGTAAAGTGGAGTGACTGTATATTTTGTGGGTGAAACGACAGCCAATAATTGTGCACAGCAGTGACCTACAAACGGTCATGATTTGAGTGACCACATTTTTTTTTGAGTCCCTGCAGCTAAGTGGATATGTCTATCGGGGTGGGTGGGGGGGAGAGAGGGTTTTCTCTTGCTTGAATCTTGAATTAAAATCAGGTCGGGATAAAATCTCTTTAACTGTTTTTCTTCTCTCTCGTGTTCAGGCGATACGCTGTTGGCAATCCAGGCTCCCTCGGGCACACAGTTAGAGGTTCCCATTCCAGAAGGGGTAGGTACCGGACTCTTCACTCGGTGAGGGAGGGACTCAGAATGAACAGACCAACAACTTGACAATTTTGAAGATCTTTGCTTCAGTGACTCAAACCTGGAACTGGCCACCAAACTATTCCAATTGTATGATGGGAGGCATCAGGGCTGTGCTCTTTTATTGCTCTGGCCCACAATGGCTCCATGTGGGGTGGGCACTGAGCCATACAGAGCGGGAACCATTCCATGGTTCTGTATTGCTTGCTGATGCTGCCAAGAAGTTACTATAGTCATCCCTCAGGGGCCGGGGGTTCTGAGAGAAAGATCACACAGGGTTACCGCACCTGATAACTGTCCAACTGTACCCCACTTTGAATGTGTTTGTGTGTGTGTGCGCACGCGCGCCCGAATAGTGTGTGAGGTCAGGATGGGGCTGAGCTGTGATGTCTGTTGACTTCCCTCTTCCCCCATCCCCCACCCAAAAGAAATGCAGGCTACCAGAGGCTGGGGGAAGGCAAGTCACTGGCTTCAGCAGAGGAGGGGAGAAAAGTAAGTCAGTCCTCTGACTGACCGCATCTCTTGTCCAAGGGCCCCGACATCCTTTTCAGCTGCATCATCCGAAAGCACAAATCTGTGGCTGCTTCTCGAAGGCTTAAGGCAGTGTTTCCCTTTAATGTGTCTCACTTCTCTCTTACCGCCATGCCGCTAACTGCTGTCACACTGTTCTGCATTGCAGGGCTCGAACGGACAGAAGAAGTACCAGATTCACTTGAAAAGCACAGCAGGTCCTATTAACGTGTTGCTGGTGAATAAAGACACGTCATCGTCCTCGCCGGTGGTGGTGCCGGTTCCTCCGCCCGAAGACCTGGTCCCGTGTCCGCCTATCGCCCCCACCACCCCACAGAGGCCGGCGCTGAGCGCCCACCTGGAGCCCGGGGGCTTCTCTCCACCCCGGCCGGACTCACCGCCTGCCACCACACACATAGCTCTGCCCCCAGAGACCACCGCAACTCCCACAGGTCAGACACCACCTGATGATAATAATCATAATAATAATCCTTGCATTTGATATCACGTCTTTGAGATGTCTCCAAGCGTTTCACAGCAAAGTGTAGTAACTGTGTATTGTGTGGGTGAAACGCGGCAGCCAATTGCCCACAGCACCGTCCCACAAGCAGTCGTGGACTGAGTGACCAAGTTATTATTATTTTTGAAGGGATTATTATCCCCAGAAAACTGATCCGCCATTCGACTAACAACCGGGTTCCTACTTAATGCTGGGTAAGGAAACTTGCTCAAGATTTTGCACTGCCTGGGATTGGAACCCACTTTTCAACAGAATGATGGGATCTGGAACATCCACCTGAACAGGCACCTCCAGCAATGCAACTCTCATAGCATAACCACTATGCTACAGGACTCCGTACTAAGCTTGGCTCCCCTACCCTCGGAGTTTAACCCCACACTCCCACTGGTTAAACTGAGAGCTACCACTGGCCAGACGATGTTTGGGGGAGTCGAGAGGGGGAGGGGAAGGGAGAGAAGTAGGACAATCTCCACTGACTGACTACAACTACTCACTGTGCCACATCTCCTGTCCAGGGGTCGGTCTCCAACAACCTTTAAAGAGTGTCAGCTTTAGCTCAAGTCAGTAGTATTCTTGCCTCTGGATCATTGGTTATTGTCTCATGTCAGGACTTTGAGCTTGCAGTCAAGGCTGATGCTCCAGTGTGGTGCTGGGAGAGAGTTGGATTGCTGGAGATGCCTGTTCAGGTGGACATTCCAGATCCCATCATTCTGTTGAAAAAACAAAGGGAGTTTTTTCTCCAGTGTCCTGGACGACAAGCTGAAAAGTGAAATTGATTTCAAGGATAGGGAATGAAAAACTAATGGCACAGATGGAATGGGCCAAATAACCTCTTTCAGTGCAGAAACTTTCTGTTACTGTAAATTAGTTATTCACTTCGATGAGTGTGGGACCCTGCTGCGGGCAAAATGGCCGCCGTGCGTCACAACAAAAACTACATGACCGTAATTAAATTAGACCGTCCTATTCATGTATCGAATGCAAGTTCTTTCTCCTGTTGTACCTTAGCATTGCCAGTGTTGTCATCCTCTCTCTCTCTCTCTCTCTCTCTGCCCTCAGTGCCAAGCTCACCAGCACAGGAGATCCACAATGCCACCAGCATCTTAAGCCTCGAGCCCCTCAACATCGTGCCCACGTCCACTAGCCCAGGGGTAACTGTGGAGACGCAGCCGCTGGAATCATCTGCCTCATTAGACAGCAGCACCTCACTATCCAATCCCACTACCTCCTTTGAGCCAATCAAACCTGATCCTTCACTGGGTAAGTTGGGCAGGTTTGCTTTGGGAAGAAGGTTTGTGTTCAGGTGTAGGCTGGATCACTGTGGGAAAGGGCCTGGTGATGTTCATGTGTGTTTATGACAGGGCCTGGGCATGAGGCCTGCCAAGAACCGAGGTTTGGGGACCCCAGAGTGTGCGTTGGGGTAACTGCTGGAGTCTTTAACTGCACAATTTGCCATTGAGAGCACTGTTTGGCCAGCTTTCCCACTGTTTATCCAGAGAGGACTGTCCTACCCGTTAGAGCTTCATTAGAGTATCAGGGAGACATGGCCTGAGTGCCGCAAGATTTGTAGTCGTTTGCAATCTTGGCATTTGCTGAAAGAAAAATCCCTGGGCTTTCTGCTCTCTTTTTTCTCTCTTCCCCATCTCCCCCCCCCCCCCCAACAGCTGCAGGCTGGACTGAGCCAGGCCTCGGGGGGGCTGCTGTTACCAGTTACCATTGGAAACGATGCAGAGGAGTGTAAGGGGGTGAGTGGCTGCCAATTCTCTGTGTGGATCTAGAACAGGATTGGAAAGTCCCAGATGTGTGTGGGGAGGGGGAATGGGGGAATTTGTATATCTCATCTCCACACTCTTGGCCTTGGATTTGAAAAATCCCTTTCATGTCCTCCCAGAGCCGCTGGCTGGCCCCACGTTTGCCTTGTGCTTGTGTCAGACATGCTCCATGTCGACATGAGGCAAGCGAGACAGAGACAGACCCGCCTCGGGGTGGGGGTGCAGAGGATTATAATTTAAAGATGTCACTGAGCGACAGATGGGAAAAATCTTTCTGCAGGCAGGAGGTTTGAGTGATGGAAGGAGCCGAGGGAAGGGAAAATAATTTTCTTTCTGGTTGTTTAAGTTTTGCCCACCTCCCTTAAATCTACAGTTCAGTAAAACACAGCCTTTTCCAGTTCTAGCTTGTTCCATTGCCAGCCTCGGCAGCAGGAAGGTCAACAACTTGCCCTTACAGTGCCCTTCACATAGAGTAGCATCCCTGAATCTGCCAAGTTCAGGCCATCTCTTGAGACCCTGAGTGGGGGAGCGTTTGGGCTCCTTCTCACAGCACTTTGAGACGTCCTCCCGAAGTTGAAAGGATTATATAAAATGCGAGGATTATTATTCAATAATTAATTGCATTTGATGCATTGCAGCATTATAGGTCCCGGATGCTTTGCAGGGATTATCGTTGCAGTGTTATTCTGGATATCATGTTCATGTGAAGGTATCTGTTGAGAGTGCCTGCAAATCTGATTGAGAGCCCTGGTTCTGCAGGCAGGGATGGAATGAGTATCAGGCGGGTTTAGGTGTGGTTTGTGAATGGTATTTTTAGACATAGTAGAAACAGTCAGACTTCTAGAAATGAGACAATTACATAAAGGCTGTGACTCATGTGCAGCCACAGCGCTATAATATAATAATCCTTACATTTGATATTGCGCCTTAGCACATCCATGGAGGCAAGTGGTATTGCACTGGCTGGCGCCTTTGATGCCAGAATTCAGGCCATCTCTACTGGAGACCCTGAGTGGGGAGTGTTTGGGCTGCTTCTCACTGCTGGCCCTGAGTCACAAGTTTGCGGGTTCAAGTCACACACTCGACTGATAATCGAACCCACTGTCTAGGCAGATGCTGCAGTTCTAGGGGTCGGAGGGGTCGTTCTTCGGTTGAGTCACTAAACCTCGTTTCTCCTGGTGTCCTGGCCAATTTGCAACACCGCAATGTCCCATAACAGCAAAATTCTCAACATTCCCAACACGATACGAAGATAGGTGGGAGAGTAAGCTGTGAGGATGACACACGAACATGTTCAAGACTGAGATTGATAGATTTCTAAAGAATCGTGGGACTAAGGGATATGGGGGCATTATCTTATTAAATGGTGGGGCAGGCTCGAGGGGCCGAACGGCGTACTCCTGCTCCTACGCCTTATGATCTTATTCCCTGCAAAATAAACAATCTACATGATAAATCATGTGAATCGCATTGAGTGGAAGACACTCTTATCGGGATGCAGGAATTTTATTATTACAGTAATATTTCCAATCAGTGTCTTCTGTGGATGGAGAGGAGCAGGAACCTCTCAGTTTATAAAGGGAGGTAAGAGGCTCGTGTCGGTGCTGCCTCGTGTGTGAAGTGCTGCTCCAGACTGGGGCTGCCTGCAAACCCACAGGCATCGCCGAACAGGGGAAGTGCTCCCCCTGGCAGCACAGTGGGGAAATGCGGCATTTGGAGTCCTGTAGTTCAGTGGTTGGAGCACTCACCTCACAAGCGAGAGGACCCGGGTTCGATTCCCGGGCAGCAGGGCGAAACACTGGGCAAGTTTCCTTACTCCACACTCCTCTGCTTACCTAACAGTAAGTGAGAACCCGGTTGTTAGTCAATAGGCAGATTGCTTTTCCGGGGGTAATAATTGCTTTAAAAACATTAAAATAATAAATTGGTCACTTCAATCCACGACTGTTTGTGGGACACTGCTGTGGCAATTGGCTGCCGCATTTCGCCCACAAAACATATAGTGAATTGACTTTACAGTATATCCTGTGAAGAGCTGTCTCGCAGTTGTGATAAGTCGCTATATCAAATGCAAGGATTATTATTATTACAGGGAGGTGCTGGTCAAATTGTACCTGAGATTGCTTTTTGGTACGGGTGGGGGTGTGAGGGGTGAGGGCGAGGGGGTCAATCACTGTTCTGAAGCTGACTTTTTTCTCCTCCCACCCCACAGTGCTGGAGTTTCCCAAAGAGCTGACCGAGATGTTCGACCCCACAAAAGGTAGGTGCTGATGGAAATGAGCTTCCATCCGCTGACCCCTCCCAGTCTGAAGTTAATAACCTAGATTTATTTGCCTTCCACTTGCGCAAGAGGCACTTCACTCCCCAACCCTCCCTCCCACCCCACCCCGGTGTGAAGTGCCCGCCACTTCCCCCATCCCTCTCGCCAATATTGGGCAAGATTTCAGCCATTCTACCCCTACCCCCCCACCCCGCACACTCTGTGAGCCGCTTTGAGATGTCCTCCCATCACAAAAGCTCTACACAAATGTGCAGTTGTTGTTAGATACAGAGTAAAGTATTTTTTGCTTTGCCTAACAAAGCAGGGCCCTGCCCCCACTCGGTTCCACCAGATAACTTACAACGCGATTCCAGCTGTTGTTTTGCTCAGAGATTTGCGCTGTGCAGCTGCTAGTCCAGGCTGTGATGTGAAAGCTCTGCATCAACTGTCAGTTCAGACATCTGTGATGTCCCCACACCTACACATTGGGGCTCAGTATGTCTCTTTGTCTCTCCCCCTCACCACCACCCTCAACTTATCTTCACCACAAGGGATGAGCCTGCCGTTGTGGGGGAGTGAGTAGGCCAGACTGTGGGGTGGTGGGTGGGTGGGGGAGACAGTGCTGTCAATGTGTAGGGAGGAGGGCGTGGGGGAACGTGGGCTGTCAATGTGTGGGAGTGACTATTTGTGTTTGTGTTTGACAGAATGTATGGATTCAGACCTCATAGATGAGTTGATGTCTTCAGAAGGTGAGCGCCCTCTACAGTCCAGCACCTGCTGTGGGCCTGTGGTTCAGGGCCCGTTCGGCCCCAGGGTTCTGGTATCTCTGCTCAGTGCTGAGTTACTGATCTCAGCCGTCCTGAGAAGGGAGAATAGACAGGGTTCCTGGCTCAGCCAATTTGGAAGGTGTTTGTGAGAAAAGATCGGTATTCAGCTGGACTAACTGGTGCTCCAGTCTCAGTGAATGAGGTGGCAGCCTGGCTCAGTCAGCAGCAATCTCACCTCTTGAGGCAGAAGCTGAGGGTTCAAGCCCCAAATCAGGACTTCAAATTCGCAGTCCAGTCTGATGCTCCAGCACAGCACTGAGGGGGCCGCTGCATTGTTGGAGGTGCCATCCTTCAGATGGGATGTTAAAGATCCCATGGCAGTATTCGAAAAGAGAAGGATGTTTCTCCCAGGGTCGTGACCAACAATCCCTCAAATAAAATTGGTCGCGAACCTCATGGCCTTCTGTGGGACATTGCTGTGTGCTGCCACATTCGCCTACAAATTACACATTAAAATCCTGTGAAGTGTTTTGAGATTTTTCAGCGATGTGTTAAGGCACTACATCAAATACAAGGATGATTCTTATTATGATAATGGGCTGTGAGGGGAGGTCATAGAGCGGGAGTGGAACTGTCCCCCTGGGCAATAATAATAATAATTCTTGCATTTGATACAGCGCCTTATCACGTCATTGAGACGTCTCACAGCACTTCACAGAATATATTATGAAGTCGATTGACTTTACTGTATTTTGTGGGTGAAACGGGGCAGCCAATTGCACACAGCAGTGTCCCACAAATAGTCATGGATTGAATGACCACGTTTTAATTTTTTTTGAAGGGCTTATTACCTCCAGAAAAGTGATCCACCAATCCGGGTTCCTACTGATAGCTCAGTAAACAGAGGTGTGTGGAGTAAGGAAATTTGCGCAACCTTTCAGCCTACCTGGAATCGAAGCGAGGTCCTCTCACTTGCTAACCACTGAGCTACAGGTAGTGTAGGCTCTTGCTAACCACTGAGCTACTAGTGTAGGGAGATGATGAAGCGGGGGGGAGTAATAGCTTGGTGCTCGGGGTGGGTAGGGAGTAAAGCCTCTGAATCACGGTGCTGAATGTTGTCCTCCCTTCTCCGCAGTGTTCGCCCCCCTCCTCCGGCTCTCACCTCCACCCGGGGACCACGACTACTACTTCAACCTCGACGACAGTGAAGGGGTCTGCGACCTGTTCGACGTCCCCATCCTCAACCTGTGACCTGGGGCTCGCCGCGGGACCTTTTACACAAAACACACAGAGAACCTTCCTTTGGTATTTTTCTATATAAAAAGAAAAGGATCTTAAAGTGGCTTTAGCCTTGGAGTGACGTGAGCTACGGCCAATACAACTGCACAATAACAGAGAGAGTGTAAGCGAGAGGACGAGGGTCGGTAATGCCCACACAACATGATGTAGGAACTCGCCAAGCCTGGAGGAGCCGGACCTGACAGCGAGAGGGGTGGGGTGCTGAGTGCGACCGTCAAGCGGAGATTCGCTCCCCGTGTGTGTGTGTGTGTGTGTGCGTGTGTGCATGCGTGCGTTTCCCCGATCTTCACAGCCAAGTCCCGAGTGCAGCTTTTTATTATATCCTGACGTTTCGCCATCTCTTCGAGTCCCGCAGTGTGAGCGCTCTACCCACCAGTGCCTGTGGTCAGCCTGAACCCAGTGGGGCTGCAGTTGGACTCTGCACTGGGGGGATATCAGCCTAGACTGTCCTGGCGACCACTGTCCAGAGAGGCACGCTCCCCCTTAGCTAGAAGGGGGTGGTGTGTGTACACATCAGGTCAAGGCAGCATTGGAAACCCTGCATTGTCAGCAGGTTTTGTTCATAAATATTTGTTACACATCAGGAGTGGCAGCTTACTATTTGACGTCTGACTCTTTCCCTTCGCCTCCGTTCCCCCAACCCCCAGGATGGCTGGTGATGGATGTAGTTGTTAAATTCTCTGTGTTGGGGAGAGGCGCTGTGGCAGACTGGGACAGTGCTAGAGCTTGTGATTGAATCTGAACCCTGTCTGGCTGAGCGGAGGGTAGGTAACCTGTGTCCCTCCGTGAGTCAGCGTTGTCAGAAGAGAAGACGTAGGATTAGGAAAAGGTTTAGAGCTACAGAACGCTTCCACTGAACTGTGATCCTCAATGCTGGTGACCTGATTTATTCCTGCCTGACCCCCATATATCGCAGAAGCCCTGGGACAGTGGGGGCAGCTGGGGGAGTTGGAAGGACCAACAACACAAGCCCGACCACACACACACACTCTGTGTTCAACTGCTACCAATTCCTCCCAGAGAAACGGCATCAAGATATGTAAACTGTCCTAGCACCTCCCTGCACAGGTGAGAGCAGGGCACTCTCACGCTGTGACTCCCCACCCCCAGCACTTCCTCACCTCAGTCATGCAGCGAAATTGAAACAGAAAAAAAATGTACATTTTGTTATTTTTTTAAAAAAAAGAGAAAGAATAACGGAGTATTTTTTTAATCTGATTTTTTTTAAACTGATTTTAGGACATAGCACTTGCTTTCTACACTCCTACACACATCCTTCACCCCACCCCCCATACCCGTTTAAATTTTTATTCCAGGTCACTTTCTTTTTTAAAAATCCCTGGATTTGGGATTTTTGAGGGGGAAGAAAACAGATTTTCAGAAGGTTTTGTTACCTCGACACCTTTGGCTTGTTGTCCAGAGGAGACAACAAGCTGCCTGCCTGCACTCCCAGCTCTCTCTCAGGCAGCTCTTTGGGCAAAAGGGGATAGTCCACCTACACACCTCTGGGAGTCTGGTGAGGGAGCGAGTCCTGCATGGACTTGTTGGTGCTGTGTCAACATTCTGCCACACTGGCACTGAATCCCATTGTATTTGCCCATCCCACTTTGGATACAGGACTCTGGGAATCCGGGATGAGTGATATCCCCAGTACCCAGAAAAGCTGGTGAATCGGGAGTTCAACATTTCTGTAAAAGCGTTGAAATGGCTGGAGAAATGGGTGTCAGAGGTTGTACGCCTCATTTCACCCCCCGCTGTAAAATCCTCTGCCAGATCCGTCCTGGGCCGTCAGTCTGGCTAACTGCTGGGATCTCCTCTGGCAGCGAGTGGTGGGTTTATGCCCAAATTGGAACAATTGCATAACAGTCAAGTGGTTTAGGAAAATCAGATAGTTCATGTCTCCCTTTCCTCTGCTTGGCATCCGGCCCCAACTTTGTAAAGCGCTCCAAGATATTATTCTGTGTGAAAGGCACTATATAAATGCAAGGTGTTGTCCTTCCTCTTCCCCCTCTCTCCCCAAGTTTGTGAGAAGTAATTTGCAGTCACTTCAGTTTGTGGAGGAAACCATTCCAGCCCACGTTCTTTTGCATGAACCTTTATTTCCACGCAGATACTTTGATTTAGGATTTAATCAAAACTTAATACTGTCTTGGCAAAGTGGGGATTGGTTATAAAGATTTACAAATGAAAGGGGGGAAGGAAGCTCAGTTGCATTGTTTTTAAGCATAGTTCCTATGGTCTGAGGTCAGCGATGAGGTTGATTTTATCAGGACAATGTAAGAGTGGTATTAGTTTGCGGTTTAGTTTATCCGCGTGAGCCCAGGCCACTCAACAGAAGATAAGCCGACTGCCAGACTGAAATAACCCAGGTAGTGATTGATTCATTAATTAATCCTGAATTACGTTCAATTTCCCTCTTGGTGTAGATTCACCCCCAACAGCCAGACTTAATGCTGGGTGTGAGATGATTGTATTAATGGTTGCCTCATTGGATTAGTTTATTATGTTGGGAGGAGGAGTGGAAGGGGAGAGCTATTTAGATGGATTTTTGCAGTATGTAAAATAACCATTTGTTTTTCACGCAGCATACAAAAAAATATTTTTATACTTGTTTTTTTGGGGGGGGATTGTAAAGGACTCATTGAGAACGCAGGATTTGTACAATTTCTAGCCTCTAGTAAGAATTACGTTCATCTCAACATAGCACTTTAGAGAAATTGGATGTTTATATTTTGTATCATAAGATTTCTGACGTTATCTGAAGATCATTCCAGTGTAGCTCATGATTCACAAAGGAACTTTATACATTATATAATCTCCCTTGTGCTTTACACAGCGCATGGATTGGGAGACAAAATGGAGCCTCCATTTATTCAACATACCACAGCTCTATTGTTCTGTGTTCATCACCTCATGAGGAATTCTAATTGTGTGTGTGTTTTTTATATAAAGGAGTTAAAGCTGTTTTTACTTTGTTGGTTGGACTGTGTTGGCCGTTTGGAAGTCTCGGCCAATGCACACAGGCTCACAAAGAACCGGCACATCTTCCTTGTGCTGTCATTGTATCAACTGCAATGTGTTTTGGGGATTGTACAGTATCTCAATAAAAATTCCTTTTGAAACATTTTCTTCCTATTCATACGTAGCCTGTGCTCCTCAGCCCAGAAACTGGGCGTAGAGAGTGCCTATCACATCCAGCTCCCTCCCTGACCTCCCAATTCCTCTCGTTTGCTCTAATCTGGAATCAATTCCTCCATGACCGGGACACTGCTGTGCGCAATTGGCTGCCGCGTTTCATCCACAAAATACAGTCAATTCACGTCGCAGTATATTCTGTGAAGCGCTTTGAGACGTCTCATCAGGCGCTATATCAAATGCAAGGATTATTATTCATTTGTTGCAAAACTTCAGAGAGGTTCACGGATAAGATTAGGAAGGGGGAGAAAACCGTAAGGATAAATACAAATGTTTTATTACGAGGATTTTTAATCATGGAGAAGAGTGCAAGAAGGTCTGCCATGGTTGCTGAATCCCAGTGACCGACGGTGAGAGCAAGAAAGGAGCGTTATCCCCATTGGTCTCAGTGCTGATGGGCGAGGGAGCAGATGATCAGGTTCCTGCTTCCTGACTGTAGAGAGAGTACATTGATAATCCTCGCATTTGATATGGCGCCTCATCACGTCTTTGAGACGTTCCAAAGCACTTCACAGAATATACTGTAAAATAAATTGATTGTATTTTTTTTGGTGAAACGCTAATTAGGCACAGCAGTGTTCCCCAAATAACAACAAAATGATATTTATAGAGCGCCTTTCACGTCGGGAGGACATCCCAAGATGCTGGACAGTCAGGGGTCAGGACCCGAGCATGGGGGATGGGTGAGGAAAAGCAGAGAGGTGGGAGGGCGACTGAAGGCACGATCGAAGAGGAGGGTCTTGAGATCGGACTTGAAGGAGAGTATATGAGCTGCAGAGTTTTGGATGATCTGCAACTTGTGAAGGGAAGAGTTGGGAAGGCCAATGAGGAGGGAGTTCCCGTAATCAATCCTTGATGTGTGGGTGAGGGTTTGGGGGCCTGAGGGGTGAGGCAGTGGCAGAGTCCGGCAATGTTACGGAGGTGGTAGTAGGCAGTGCCCGTCATGGCGCGGATGTGGGGGAGAAAGGACAGTTCAGGGTCAAACAGGATACCCAGGTTCCTGACCGGCTTAGTGAGGTTGAGTGTGCAGCCGTGGAGGCTGATGCTGCCAGGGCCTGAGGTGCGGAGGCCTTGGTGCGAGCCAATCAGGAGGGTCTTGTTGACATTCAATTGGAGAAAGTTGTCCCTCATCCAGGACTTGACAACAACAACAACAACAACAAGATTCCATTTATAAGCGCCTTTCACGTCAGGAGGACGTCCCAAGGCGCTGCACAGTTGGGTCATGACCCGAGCAGGGGGGAAATGGTCAGGGGAGGGGAGAGAGCGAGGAGGGGGGAAATGGTCAGGGTGAGGGGAGGGAAGGGAGGGAGCGAGGAGGGGGAAGAGAGTCGAGAGGGGAGCTGAAGGCTCGGTCAAAGAGAATCGTGGATTGAGTGACGAATTTATTATTTTTTTTTGAAGGAATTATCCCCAGAAAAGCGATCCGCAAATCGACTAAGAACCAGGTTCCTACTTACTGCTGGGTAAACAGGTGTGTGGAGTAAGGAAACTTGCCCAACATTTCGCCCTACCAGAAATCACACCCAGGTCTTGCTTGCGAGGTTAGTGCTGAGCTACAGGACTCCACGGTATATAAACAGTATATACCCGGCTGCCACACATTGCTTTGGGCTCACACATAAAGAGCAGACACCGGTGGAACCAACAGCTTGGGAATCAAAATAAGTTCCAATTTACATAGTTTCATAGCACAAACAGACAACACTGTTGAATTACTGTAACCGTCTTATTCCTGTATGGACTCCAATGCTGTACAATTTATTTAATTCCCTTTAACTTGTGGAACAGAAACCACTTTCGAGTGCAAAGCGATATAGACAGGTTAAATGAGTGGGCAAGAAGGTGGCACATGGAGTATAAGGTGGGGAAGTGTGAAGTTATTCACCTGGTTAGAAAAAATAGCAAAGCAGATTATTTTCTAGAGGGGGAGAGACTAGGTAGTCTTTTGTTTTAAAAAAAACTAAGTGATTAAGGGATATGGGGATAGGGCGGGTAAATGGAATTAGGTTAGAAGATCAGCCATGATCTTATTAAATGGCGGGGCACAGGCTCGAGGGGCTGAATAGCCTATTCCTGCTCCTATTATGTTCATTCGAGTGGGTCTCTTGTGTTATTATACCATAGCCAATGGATGGCAGCACTGAGCTGCTAATGCGGTACACAACCTATAATAATAATAATCCTTACATTTGATGCAGCGCCTGATCACGTCTTCTAGACATCTCAAAGTGCTTCACAGAATACACTGTGAAGTGAATTGACTGTATATTTTGTGGGCCAAATTTTGTTTAATAACTTGCTCCATTGATAAAGAATCTGATGTAAATACCTGTATTTTCCTGTATTTATCTGATGTAAATACCTGTATTTTCCTGTAATAGGTTTTCCCCTTTCCTCAGATCACAAGGCAACACGTCTGCACTAATCCTAGAACCTCACACTGAGCTGTGTGGTGGGCTGAGTAAGAGGTCACCTCAGCTTGGACCTCATCTAACCAACAACAACTTGCATTTAAATAGCGCTTTTCATGCGGGGGGTAGCGTCCCGGAGCACTTCACAGTGGCGGAGTCTGACAAAGAGCCGGGGGGTGAAGGAGGGGGCAGGTGACTGTAAGCACGATCACAAAGATCTTTAGGTGGGATTTGAAAATGGGGAGGGAGGGGGGCACGGCAGAGGGATTGAGGGAGAGAGTCCCAGAGTTTTGGGGCCAGTGGCTGAAGGGATGGCCACCAATGGTGGAGCGGTGGGGACGAGGGACAAACAGGAGGCCAGAGCCAGCCGAGCGGAGGCAGCTCCCGGGTAACCTTCATCACAACGTTGGCCGGGGCGTCTGCAGTATTAACTCGCTCGCACCCTCAACTTGGGAAACTGAGAGGACAAAGAAAGAATTGTCATTTCTGTACTGCCTTAAATGTAAGTAATTCTTGCCAAGTGTAGTGACTGTTTTCATTGCAATTCCAGCAGCTGGTTTGTTTCACCACAAAAAGCCCTGAGGCTATGAATTGTAATCTGGAGGAGTGTCGGCCAGGATGTGAGGGAGACTGAATGCTACACAGAGTAAGACCTCTGACACTGGTTTTGAATGCAGCTCATTATGGGAAGAAAGCCTCTCAGTCTGATGGTAGGGAGTTTGGGCAGTGTCCTCCAGGCCCAGCCTGACTCATCCTGGGTTTGGGTACGTTTTAATAGTTAGCTCCGGTTTCTCACCCACTTCACGTGTGAGGTTAGATGGTAAGAGTCAGCCATTAATGTTGATCATTACAGTGATGGAAAGACTGACCGAAAACACTTCACTCCCAGTATAGTGTAGTGACTGTCTTTAGGCAAACAGAGCAGCCAATTTGTGCAGGAAAGTTGCATACAGCCTTGTAGTGTGTGACCAATTGAGGGATTCATGGCCTGGGCAGTGGGAGAAACTTCCGACAGTGCCATGGGATCTTTAATGTCCAACTTGCGGGACCTCGTAATTCAGCATTGATCAGGCACCGCAGTTTTAACGTCTTATCTAAAGAACAGCAGATCTGACAATGTAATGCACCAAAAATCCCTCCCTCCTCTCCCCCAGGACTGCACTGATGTCAGCCAATGATCTCAAAGTCCCGACAACAACAAGTTACTGGACAGTCAGGGATTGGACCCGAGCTGGGGTTTGGGATCAGGAGGGATGATGGGCAACGGTAGGAGAGTCTTGAGAGGTGCTTTGAAGGAGGCAAAGGAGGGAGCGAGGAAAATGGACTCTGTGAAATTTGAACCCACAACTTTCTGAGCAAGAAGTAAGTGCTACCAACTGAGCTGGTCTGACATGGGCAGTGGGTGGATAGGAGAGTCTTCACAGCCAAGCCTGATTCTGCCAGCAGTGTGCTTGGGAAGGGGAGGCGGCACTGGGTCGGATTGAGAGAAATCTTTACCAGTATTGCACTTGCCCCCTCCAGTCTCTCCCTAACTAAAGAGCTGCCTTTAGTTGTCTGTTGCTGTGAGTGGAACTGATATGTTGAAACCAAGTTCAAGGGAGGAACAGGAGAAGTGAAAGGACCCAGAGCTCAGGAACAGAAATAGTCTTGCCGTCTTGCAGTCGCACCCTTTTATTTTTACAAACCGTTTCAGGATCATTGTCATATAGAAACAAGCTTAACACGCCATTCGTACCTTCCAGGTCCTCTTTCAAGATTAATGCCCATTTCACATCCCTGTGACTCTCCCGTCAAGTCCAATCCGCATTTGAACGGTTGGGTTGGCTCTCTGCTTATTGCACCAGTTGCCAAAAGTCTCTGACCACACGTGGGGAATCGCAGTCATGTTTATAATTGTCCCTGCGTCACAAAGCCTCCGTCACAGTGTTGAAATGAAATAATCTGGGGGGAGGGCGGAGTGTGCTGGGAACACCAAATGTCGGCCATATTATCCCTAGTCTGATATCACGTGATTGGAACTGTTTGACTTTGAAGAGAAACAATGGATGTTCTTCGATTTGGGTGAGATCTTCTCTCAATTTCCCATTGATGTCCTGGCTACATAGAACTCCCCACTGGGGACATCCCAGGTAGCGCTTGACAGTGGCGGAATCTGAGCCCGAGCCAGGGGGAAAGGGAGGGTGGAGGGGACCGTAAGCACCATCAAAGCGGAAAGTATTTAGGCAGGATTTGAAGTTTGGGAGGGAGGGAGCAAGATGGAAGGATTGAAGGAACAGTTCCAGAGTTTCAGGGCGTAGGGGCTGAAGGGGTGAAGGCATGGCCACTGACAGTGGAGCGGAGGGGAAGAGAGACAAACAGGAGGCTGGAGCCAGCCGAGTGGAGGCAGCGGGTGGTGTAGTGGGTGGGGGGGAGGGGTTGGGGGTGGTGGTAAGCAGGTCGGGTAGGTAGGGAGATCCGAGGGCACGAAGGGATTTGAAAACAGAAGCTGCTTTAAATACTGACCAAGTCTCCCCTC